AATTCAGGGCTGGCTGTATGATCTGCAGGGCCCACTGCTCCATGAAAACGTGGGACCCCCTATTAACAAAAGAAGAAAATAGTGCCATTGGAGGTACTATCATACCTTTTCTTTTCTTCCACAATCTTTCTCTTGACTTGCTGTGGTATTTTTATTTGCTCTTGTGGGGGCACCAAAAATATAGCTTTTCTCCCACATTCTAAGTTCTTCTCTCTGGGATAATAATCCAATGAACAGAGACAGACTTTACAGGAGAAAATGTCCAAAGTTTATGATTCGAATGTACGTTCTGGGGTCCATAAGAACGTGACACTGAGCTGCTGAGGCTTATATGCCATTCTGGACCAAGGAGAAGGGGGCCTGGGCCTGGGATTCCATGGGAAAGTACTTAATTTACAGGTAGGAGAAAGAGAAGACACGTGGGAAACAAGTTCTTGCTGGGACAGGCTTTGCTAGATTTCTTCCTGTAGGCCCCATACCTGCTAACCCAGTGGTCGGCAAACTGCGGCTTGCGAGCCACATGCGGCTCTTTGGCCCCTTGAGTGTGGCTCTTCCACAAAATACCACATGACGCGCGCACGTACAGTGCGATTGAAACTTCATGGCCCATGCGCAGAAGTCGGTATTTTGTGGAAGAGCCACACTCAAGGGGCCAAAGAGCCGCATGTGGCTCGTGAGCCGCAGTTTGCCAACCACTGTCTAACGGTCTAACCCATATGTGCTAAGGTTCCCTTCCTGAAGCAGCTTTTCCATCGGAATTCCTTTAGGCAGGAAGAGGGAGATTCTACCTGACTCCTCTGTTTCTAAATAACCAGCTTAAAATCAATACCCCCAGGGGCACATTTCAGGGTGGCAACACTTTGTCCCCTTCACTACTTAATGTCATTCTCCAGTAAAAACACATTAAATCGACACAGAACCTGGCTGGAGATCCTGGCTAGAGAACCTGGCTAGGCTGCTGATCAACTGAATGCTGTGTCCTTCCTTCTTCGCCGACTCCGTCCACACCTTTGGGAACCCCTGGACCTGCTGGGGTTGGACCCCAACAATTGTCAAACTTGCTCATTGCTGTGTCCCCATAAATGGAACTCATAGTTGTAGGTGGTACGCAATAACTATTGCTTGAATAGATAGATGGATGGGTGGTTAGATGGATGAGTAAATAAATGATTAAAAATAAAAAAAAACAAAAAAAACCACATTAAATCTTTTAAATATTAGCATGAATTTTATCCTTCACCTTTATCTTGTGCAATGCAAAGTATACGTGCAAATACAAGAACAAATATGATTGTATTAAGGGCAAATATAACTCAGACTGTGAAATTACTGAGATTACACAAATCACATTTTGCAGTGCCTATGGATATGTACATTGTTCTTTCAAGAATAGTGAATATGCTGAATAGCAGTATTTCAATTGTTTTTATTGCACTTCCTGATTCCTGCACATTAAACCAGCACTCTCTACCTTTGCCTTACTGATAAGTAAGGACTGAAAGGTAAGGGGACTCTGGGTTACCCTATCTTCTCCTTTTCTTCTGTGTCAAGAGAGGCAGCAGAAGTGATTGGTTAAGTAAAATGAGTAAGAAAGACTATGATGGGGTTTCTTGGTCATTTGTTTTTCGTAAAACACCATTGCCTTCTATCTGCGTTAGAAACAGGTTATGGTTCAAAAGGAAAGGATGGCCTCTCCCGGCTCCAGTTCCTCATTTACTCAGTCATAGATGCGCCACACTAACCTTGCGCGTGCTGCGACCCTTGCTAACTCCCTGGCGTCGTGCGCCCACTGGAGTTCAGTGTTCACAGGATGCTGTGAATGCTACAGGTGGATGGGCAAATAAGAACTAATGGACATGCTTGTTAAGCGCACCTCCTTTGCTCACACACACACACACACACACACACACATACAGCCCATTGTCCCATCAGACTTCACTTATAAAGTACAACTTCAAAAAAAAATTATTGAGAATTCCATGACAGTGACTACAGAGCATTAAACCCAGCACTGAGCTCTGCTGAGTTCAGGGCCCAGTGTAACCACACAGGCAACACACCCATGAACCCAGCCCCACGTAACTTCAATCACTTTCATAAAAAATTGACCTACATCTGTTTGGCTTGTTTGGAATTCCAACAATGATAAATGGGAAAGTATGTCAGGCTCTTTGGAAGAACATGGAGAGAATTTTCCTAATGGAGACCCCTGGTCCACAGTCACAGTCCAGGACAGCGAGATGGGGTCATGCGGCTGGAGCCATGGGCTTGGGCCTCGCTTTCAGAGGGCCGTGACTGGACTTCTGTTTGCATTCAGAGCCATGGTTTTGAGGTGGAGATAAAGATGATTAATGTGGGGATCACAGGAGAATGTTTACTATGTCGAATGGGGCACTCTCTAACAGACTAGAAGGGTATTTGCTGTAAAGAAACCAGAAAAAAGTTTTCTGACTCCTCAGCATCAGTACATGACAAGAGGCAAAATTAAGTTCACTTTTTAAAATATATACATATTTTTATTGCAACTAATGTTTTATTACTTTTAAAAATATATATTTTTATTGATTTCAGAGAGGGAGGGAGAGGGAGGGAGAGAGAGAAACATCAATGTTGAGAATCATTGATTGGCTGCCTCCTGCACGCCCCACCCTGGGGATCGAGCCCGAAACCTGGGCATGTGCCCTGATTAGGAATTGAACTGTAACCTCCTGGTTCATAGGTCGAAGCTCAACCACTGAGCCACGCCAGCTGGGCTTAAGTTGAGGAGTGTAGATTTCAATATAATGTCCTTGAAGTCAGTTTTAGGATAGAACAGGAATAATGAGAAGTAGGTAGCAGCACATTAACTTCTAAACATACAGGGACATTTTCTTTTAGCCTTAGTTTACAAGGTCCGGGGTCTGTCTGTCTTTGTATTCATACCAGTGAGCAGAATGCCTGACACATAGTAGGTGCTCAATAAATGTGTTTATTGTTGGGTGCTAAAGATTATTAAGTATCATCCCTGGTGAAGAGACTGATGCAGGAGACTAAAAATACTACAGAGTGCAGAAACATCTAAATTATAAATCATTTGGAAAGGGGACAATGAAAAAAATCTATTTTTGCAATTTAAAAACGTGACCACTATGACTGTTCTATTGTTTTCCTTGAAAGATCTGTATGTAAAATTATTGATCTCTGTTTAAGAGAATACAGCAAATACAACAGAGTTATAGATATGACTATAAAAAGGCAAAAAAGACCAGTTGGGAAATAAAACCAGTTTACATGACTTTTAAAAGAGGAATAAGTAGTACTAGGGAAGGGTGACTCAGGAGCAAGCAGGAGGTGAGCAATCTTCAGAGCTGAAGGAAACCTTGGGGACCGCCCTGGCCAGTTCTTTGATTTGTCAGGAGATAGCACTAGAGCCCGGAGGAGTGAGATGGCATTTCAAGGTCACACAACACATGCCAGAAAACGAACCCCTAACCTAGTTTATCCCTCCCCACAATCTTTTTACTTCTTTAACTCAGCCTGTCCTTGATGTTTTCTCTTCAACATGGAGGAATCAAATTAAAACATAATCTTGGAATAAAAATCCAGATCAAAGAGAAACCAAGAAAGTAACTAGTTCTATAAGCCAAGGTTGTTGTTTTTTTAAAAGATAAATTAAAAATCAGAATATTAATATCCACGTCAGACCCCCCTCCCCCCCCCAACTCCCTCAAATGTGAAAGTCTTCCAAGCACTAGGGTTTCTCAGTGGAGGTAGAAATTGTGGTAACATGAACACAAGTCCGAACTTTAAACAGACGGGAATTTGCGGGTTAATTACCAGTAATATTCACAATGTCACCAGACCAAGGGCAAGTTTTATCCAGACCAAAGGAGCATAGCTTCAGGGAGCTCTGGCTACAACAGAGCCAAAACAGAGTCCTCCTGCAGAGGGCGTCGGATGACCAGGCAGGAGAGCCGGGCTGTTCCGGTTAATCACCCTGGGAGGAGAGGCCCTTTAATCACAGGTACTGAGAACCAGACAATGCCCATGGCAACTGGAGAAGAAAGGACCCACCGTGCAGCGTCAAGCTCTAACTGAGTGCTACGCGCAGGCAAACATTCCGACTCGGCTACACACATTCTTGGTGCTGCAGGCTGGTTTGGAGAATTAGGCCTTTTAAGTCAAACAAACAGTTCACCCAGGTTGAGCAGTCTATTGAGAAATCATTTTCTCTGCGTTGTGATAAATAGGACGTATACGTAAGAGAATCATTAAAAAGTACTTTGAGCCGAAACCGGTTTGGCTCAGTGGATAGAGCGACGGCCTGCGGACTGAAAGGTCCCAGGTTCGATTCCAGTCAAGGGCATGTACCTTGGTTTCGGGCACATCCCCAGTGGGAGGTGTGCAGGAGGCAGCTGATTGATGTTTCTCTCTCATTGATGTTTTTAACTCTCTATCTCTCTCTCTTCCTCTCTGTAAAAAATTAATAAAATATATTTTTTTAAAAAGTACTTTGAACTGTTCAAACTTTGAGAATTTGCTTTGATGACATTATAAAGTGACAAAAAGTAGGTAAGGTAAATGTATTTATATTTGGGGGAGTGTTTATCTGCTTATCTTAAATTAGAGATATTAAGCTTCATGGACTTTTGAAGAAATAATTCAATAAGAGGGAGTTGTGGGCATGGAAGAGAGAGCAGGATAAGACAGAGCAGATGGAGTGGACATGGTGAGGAATGTAGCTCTTGGCAAGAGAAAGGAAATTGAGGCAAGGGACAACTGGGCTCTGGAAATGGACCTAGAGCTTGGTGTGGGTGGATCAAGGTGACCTCTGGTTATATAACTCAAGGATCTTGGCAGAGATGGGATTGCTGCAGTAGGAATGAGAGGTGAGCCTCAACTGAGTCCATAGGAGAAATACAAATACCACATATTCCCAACTTGAATGTTCATGTTCTGGAGTCCATGATATACATGAAGGCTGATGAGAGGTGAGAGGTCATAGTAGTGAATACCGCACTATGGTCCTCCCCATGAGGGTAAGACCAAATGCAGACATCTAAGTAGGTGCCCAGTGTATTTTGCTTTTCCAGTTGGGTGTTTTTTGCTTCTTCGTACAAATCTTTGTTGACTTGATTCTTGCGATCCTCT